TTGGTGGTGGTAATACAGTTAGGTGGCCTGACAGCCCTGAGGTTGTTTCAGTGGCTGTACACAAAAGAGATTGATGGCAGGCTTTAATTGGAAAGGTCCAGTGCTGGGTCTTCCCTGACTTATTTGTACTTTTAACAGGGAGTAAAGGGAGACCTGTGTGACTTGCTGATCAGATTTATAGTTGACAGGAATCTGGTAGGGGATAACAAGATCAAGATTCAAGAAAAAAAATTAAATGTCATACTCTGTATTCAATCTAAATTAAAAGGAATTTAATAGGAATAATTATTCAGCCTTACAGACATGCCCCAAAATTGCAGTAGTAAGTGAGTGAAGATGTGACTCAGTACAGAACATATAGGAAAGACTGGGATTGATTAAATTGCTCAACAGAAAGTTTATCAGCTTTGTAGTTATGGCTATTAGCAGTACTAATGGAGTTTAAGACTGCACTTAGGAAATGCATGGATAGACAGTATTGGCTGGCCAGATCATACATGGAGTATGGGACCAAGTTTGGAACACCATGCTTTTTGAGAGGAACAATTACAAACTAGAATGCCTGGAGAATAACTGAGGGGATTCTGATTGAGTTAGTTCCCTCAGTGTTCATCATCCCTGTCTATAACAGCACCTTGGCTGGATGAGCTTTACAGGACTTAGCAGCTATGCTAAATGTAGTATAGAGTAAATATGACTGATGGCCCTTGCTTCCAGACAGCTTGAAGGCTGCTGTGGAGATAATAACGCATGTGTTTAGACATCTCTTACTCTGTGTGCCCCAGTCCTGCCTGTCCTTGTCTACTCCTAACTGAAGTGGTTGCCCAAGCTTAATGGAATACTTCGTCAACTTCTAGTTCTAGTATTTACCCTTGGCTTAGACTGGGATGAGGTCTTGAATGAGAATTCTATTGCATCATTATTGGGTTTCATTTCTAAAAGGCATGCTGTTAATTCAATTTTTTCAATAACCTCAAATCACAGACCTGTAATTTTAAAAGATACATCAAATTTAGGTAGGCTTTACCACTAGAGCCACTCTACCAGCCCTAAAATTACATCAAATTTAAATGAGGTGTTTAGCATCATTTGTTTAACATGTATTTGGTATAGTTACCATATATAAAGAATATACTATTCACCTCAAAAGTAACTTAGTTGGTGGTAAACTGGTGAAGACTCGTGTTACCATGGATTTCTTTTGTGTATGTGTGGTACTGGCATTTGAACTCAGGGCCTCATGCTTGCCAGGCCTCTACCACTTGAGCCTCTCCACCAGTCTCAAGATGATATTGTTAAGCTAATTTAGAAATTGATATTTATTTAGTCACTCATTAAGAGGTATATACTCCCTTCTTAATGGCACTGGGTTTTTTTGTTTTGTGTTTTTTGTTTTTTTGGTTCCTAACCAAGCTGCCTTAAAAAAAAAAAAAAAAAAAAAGACATTGGGAAAGTACTACTGCAGCCAGTACTCGAGTGGAAATAAAGGACTGCATAAAGAGCAGAAGCCAGAAATTGTGTGATTGTGTGTGTCTGTTAGAATACAGGAGAATGAAGCCATAGACCTCTGATACATGACACATTGTTGCTAAGAGTTACTTAGTTTTGCACCTCCAACCACAGGTTTAAATTGCAGAACCATTTGAGTAGATGTTTACACCTGCCCTACCTTGTTCCAGAAAGGATTTAAGGGAGCTTGAGGTATTCGATTGTACTTAATTACCATAGCTTTAGTCTTTGAAATCCATAATGATTGCATGTTATACTGATATCACTACAATAAAACTTGGCAATCTTCATATGATTCTCTCAGTATTCCAGGTGTAACTGAAGCTCCTGTTTGTAAAGTTAACGTGTAGATTTTTACAAGTGCTGTGGCTTTTCCAAAATGTTTGTAAAATGACTTTTTCTCTTAAAAAAAAAAAAAACCTACAAAAAGCAAAGCTTTCTCTCTTCTATAAGCAGGTATATCCTACTTTGTTGTTTGGATGAGGAATGAACTTCACCATTACAGCATGCGTATTTCTTCTTTTCTTCTCGCAACTTCTCCCTGCCCCCCGTAGTGAAAGTGATAGTCAAGTTTATTAGGAAAGGAGTACACTTTAAATAGATGGAAGCAGATTATCTCTAGAACAAGTATGAGAATGACTTACAGCATATTTCTTAAACATTATGCTTAATGTATAAAAGAAGCTTTTCAAGGGTTAGCAAAACATTTTTTAGAGGAACACATATACAAACATTATGGTTAGTAAGCACATTTCATTAAGTACTCATTTGTTCATTTATTCAGAACAAAGTTAATTTAAAATAACATAGTTTCAAATACACTTGTGTTTAACGATGTTCTGAGATCAGCATGGTGACTCACACCTGTTAGCCCAGCTATTTGAAAAGCAGACATCCTGAGGATTATAGTTCAAGGCCAGTGTGTGCAAAAAGTTAGCAAGACCCCATCTCAAATAAATAAGCCAGGTGTGGCAGGGCACATTTGTGATCCCAGCTATGTGGTAGGCAAAGGTAGGAGGATCATAGTTCCAGGCTGGCCTGGGCAAAAACACTTATGTTTTTTGTTTTAAAAAAAAAAAAAGGAAAAAGCTAGAGGTATGCACAAGGCCCTGAGTTCCACTCTCCAGTACTGCAAAAAACCAAAATATTCTGAAAAAAAGGTAGGGAGTTTGTTTAGTTAAAACAGCGTTTTCTGAAAGTCTGTGATAGACTCATGGGCACACGGACCTTTAGCTCTGCAGTACAATATTCATTGCCTACTCTGCAGTGCATATTTGAGACTTTATGAACTCATTGTCGTTGCCATTGTTGAGCAATAAATATCCTCTTGAAGATCTGATGCAGAGATACAGGCCTTTTTTTTGGGGGGGGGCTAGTAATTAAAAAGCCTTTAGAGGTAGTTGGCATTCCCAAGAATGGTTGGTTACCCATGTTGTTATTGCTATAGTTTCTAAGAACTATTTCATGGAGGGGGAAGGAAAGAGCCACCATAAACCAACTGTTGAAGGCATTATTGCTCATACATCCATTTCCTCTGGAGGTATTTTTTCTCTTACCTGTCATCAGCAAGGTGAGTTCAGTTGAATTGCAGTGGACAGATGAAACATGGGTAGATTGGTACAGTTAAGTAAGAGAGCTCTAAGACCCTTTAGAGGTGAAAGGATTGTTTTATGTCAGAAATCTAGATTAAGGTAATCATTTTTATAGTTACATACAAGTTTAACTTTGGCAAATAAGAGGGAATATTAAGCTGAGCAGAGTGCAGTGGATTATGCAATCCACCTTGTAATGACATACAAAGAAACATACCAGTTCTTCAAATAGAAACTTTTCCCTATTGCTAATTTCTTTAATTTTGAAATTTTTCAGGTATACACAGATAGGATCTAATATAGTTTCTAGTTTCAACAGTTACTAACACTTTGCTAGCTTTTTTTTTTTTTTTTAAATCTATTCCCTGAAAGTCTATTAAGGCAAATCCCAGATCACTCATTTCAATATCTGTGTCTAACTGATAAGGATCTTTTTCCTCTATCTACTTTATTCTATTATAATACATAACAAAATTGTTAATTCCTTTTTTTGTGTATGTATGTGGGTCTGGTATTTGAACTCAGGGCCCCATGCTTGCCAGGCATGTGCTTTTACTACCTGAGCCACTCTGCCAGCCTAGTAACTATTAATCATCATACCTAGTGTAGAATTTCCCTGGTTGCCAGCAGATCGTTTTTTTGAATCCAGAAAAGATCCATGAATTTTACCATTTAACACTCTTCACTGTCTTTCTCCTTTTTTTTTTTTTCTCTCTCATGATTTGTTGGAGAAACCAATTTTCATCCTGTCAAGCTGTTTCCCTTTAATGTTTAACTTGTTCCTGTATCTCTCATGTTTCCTATATTCTGATGGGTAGACCTAGAAGTTTGATTGGCTTCAAAGGTGTAATTTGGGGGTAAAAGAGAGATATTTTTATAAATGATTTTTTGTATTGCTATTGTGTTTTATCATGAGATACTTTGGTGTTTGGTTGTCCTATTTTTGGTCATAGATCAGTGTGTTCCCTATGTTCAGTCCATGCATCCACTGAAATTTCCCATCTACCTTTCACCTAAGTTTATTTATTTATTTATTTATTTTGGTGGGACTGGGGTTTGAACTCTGGGCTTCATGCTTGCAAAGCTGGTGCTCACACAGCTGTTGCTCTACCTCTTGAGCCACATCTCCAGTCCATTTTCCTTTGGCTATTTTGGAGATGCGGTCTCACGAACTATTTGCCTGGGCTGGCCTCAAACTTCAATCCTCCCCATTTTAGCCTCTCAAGTAGCTAGTATTACAGGTGTTAACTGTCAATTTAATGGTCTTAGTGGCCATTAATGATTGTTGCTAGATCCGTTGTTTTATCAAGGATTACAGAATGGTAATATTCTCTTTTTGTATCTTGCTATGAATCTTATGTAGAGAACTTTCCCTTGTCAGCTGTTCAGTTACCCTGAAATACAGGCTGTACAGAAAAGGCAAGATAAATGTGCCATTTCTTTCCTTTTTATTTACCAATTTTAGAGTATTGGATTGTTACCTTTACAACCTCCAAGGTGACTAATGAAAATTATAGCGTAATTTTAATTATATTACTTTTAAATACATAATCCTTTTTATATAAACAGATGTTTTATTTGTATGTTGATGCATTGCGGTAATTTTTATTTTTATGCCCAAATTGTGCCATCTTAGGCCTTTTTAGTTTGGCTCCTGTGTCTTTTTTGGCATGTCCTCATTAGCATTTGCTTTGTATAACATGTCCCAGGCTCATCTTGTATAATTCTCACTGATTTTCATGACTGTTTTCCTAGTTCCTTGTACTAAAAGCTGAAAAAGTTTTTCTTTTTTTCTTTTTTTTTTTTTTAATTTGGTGGCACTGGGGTTTGAACTCAAGGCCTCAAGCTTGCTAGGCAGGCACTCTACCACATCAGCCACTCCATCAGCCCTTGAAATAATTATTTTAATGCTACTTCTATAATCAAGAAAAAATATCACAAGTTGCATGTACATGATGAATACCTTAACCTTAACATAAATATAAATATACAAGTCACATTCTCATTGCCCATTATTACTCTTTGATTTTTTTTCTGAGTATGTGCCTCTGCATAGAGCACGGTCAGATTAAAATATATGTGCAAGTTTATTTCTAAAGTATTTCCATGTAAGAAAAACTGTGGTGTTTTTCATGTTAGTAGAAGTTTTCAGATTGATTTTAAATGACTTCACCTTTGTGGAGTTTGGAAATTTTATATGTGGTTTGAGCAGAGCTGGCACAAAGTGCTGTCAGCCCAACACCAGAGGTTTTGCATTTGAGGTCTTCATGACCGTTGTTAAGGCCTCGTACCACGTGGTTTACCTGATGCCCCTTTTTTCCCCCACCAGGCTGGTGCCTTGTGCTCTTAAGTGGTAACAGGCGCTCACCATATGAACACAGTACCTCAGTTCTCTGACCTGGCTGCAGTCTCCCTGTGTCCAGAGCTTCAGCATAGCAGCCAGGGTAAGCTTCTCAAAGCCACAGGGATACCCCCATGCATCTCGTGTGTGTGAATGAACAGGTGGTGTCCTGTAGATCTGTGGGTCTTCTGCATGTAAATCTCAAAGCTTAGTCTTTCTCCTGGAGCCCATACTGACATTTGTGGCATGAGTTGAGTGTGTTCAACAGACAGACAGTGGACAACATGGCGTAGTGACTTCAGGCCGGAAAATTAAGTTCTTTTTTGAAGTATCCCAAGGGTCAAGTCGGTTGAAACACTTCTAGCATTATCTAACAACTTGCATTGTGGTTTTTCTGCAAGCAACTTTAACGACTTTAATAAACCCATGATCCCCCAGCCTATAGAGGAATACAACATGATGCTGATAGTGATCATTGTTCCAGTTACTGCTTTTAAGGACAGGAAGGTTTTTTTTGTGGTTGGTTTTCAGTTTTTCCCCCACTTACACCTATACCCTGGTAATGATACTGTAACTTAAGTCTGCTCCCAAGTCCACATATCTTGGGCTTCATTTAGACTCATTTTTCATATTTGTGTGCATTTTCCCAGTATCTCACTCTTGATTCCTTGTTCCAGGGATTCAACATTAATTTCCAAAATTAGGCCTAGCAGAGTGGCTCAAGTGGTTGAGTGCCTGCCTAGCAAGCATGATGCCCTGAGTTCAAATTCCATTCCTGCCAAAAAACAAAAAGCAATTTCCAGCATTATCATGGGACTGGTGGCAACACAAGACATGAATCTTATATCTACAAAAATTTTTTTGCAATGCTGTGAATCGAATCCAGGGCTTGCAAATCCTAGGCACATACTCTACCACTGAGCTACATCTCCAGCCCTGTGTAGAAAATTTATTGGTTTTTCTCATTTACCTTCACTAAATTGTATTGTGTGTGGCATCAACAATCTGCCATGTGAAACTTGAGAGAAGAACATCCTTTTTGCATGCTCTATTCTACATAAAGTCTTCAGTGTAACTAACTAAAATTGCATGTTAAAGTTACTTAAGGTGTTTTTTTTTTCCTTTTGTTTTCTGCATTTTTATTTGCCTTTTCTTTCCTGTATATTTGCTTACTGTATTGTTTTGGTGATTTTAGGATAAAAATGCGCTGGTGAAGCAAATGCAGTGCCAGCAGCAGGTGGTTTTCAGTTGTGTATGTCATGCAGAATCTGAAGGGATGTGCATTCCTTAAAAATTCAATTACTTGTAAGGCAGATTTCATTTCTACTATTTTTATATGTCAACCCTCCCCTCCCCCCCAAAAAAGTACATTGGGCTTGACTTTCTGAACACTTTGTAGACCCATTAGAAGACCGTTCTGATTATCACAAATTGTAGTGCCTGAAAACATTCTTAAGCTGATTGTCTTAGGAAGGAAGGAAGGAAGGAAGGAGGGAGAGAAAGAAAAGAAGGAAGACCTAGAAACTATATAGGCACTGTTATAAAATAATTATAGTTGAAATGTCACTGGTTCCTTGGAAATGCTGTACTCTTTGTATTTTCTGTCATTAGTGCACTTCAAATAAGTGTAGTTCGGAGGTCCTAGTGTTCACGCTTTAAAGCTAGGTAAATAACCTCATGTATAGCCATCTTTAGAGCTTGAATTTATTTTTAGTTTTAATTTTTATACAATGTGTAGACAGTTCCCTGTTGTCTGCATTTTAGAAGTATGCACAGTATAAATCTGTAATTCTATAAGTTTTATAATTATATAACTCCATCCTCCCTTTAAAAATTCCAAATAAACCCTTTATCTGAAGAAAAAAAAAGCCCCACAATTTCAGTTGTCTTTTCTAAGAATTCTGGTTGTTTTTCCTTTTTCCACTATTTTAAAGAATTATTTAGTAGCCATCTTTGTACATAAATCTTATAGAAGCAATTGATTATTAGGATACATTGGTAGAACTGGGATTGCAGGTTAAGAGAGGAACATGTTTAAGGTTACTAATGTATAATGAATGTGAAAGATACTGGAGAACCTGATTAAACACTGCATAAAAGGTGGTCAACACCTAATTTGAAGTCCCCACTCTTCCACTTTACTAACTAGCTTAATGATATTTGAATACAACATCCAGTATTTTTGAGCTGCCTCTTACTCATCTATAAAACAGAAACCATAGAATTTCTCTTCGGATTGAAGAGTTAGAAGAATCCCACTCTGTTTCTTTGATGATCAAGAGTAATAGTTCATTTTATAAATATCCCAACAGTATGTGTTTGCCACATGCTATTCCACTTTTTAGGCAAAAGAATGAAACTAACAAAGTCCTTGTTTTCATGGGACTTATATTAATAGAGAAGGGAGATACATGTGAGGTTGTGTAAGTACTGAAAGAGAATGAAGCAGAATAAGAAGATGAGAATCAGAGGTGCTGTTTTGGAAACAGTGACCAGAGAAGGCCTTGAGGTGTGGTTTTTGCACACATGCATGCTTGACTTATTTGCCTGTCTCAGCATGTAGCCCAGTCTTCCTGCATCAGCCTCCCTAGTGCTGGGATTATGGATAAACACCACCGCTCTGGCTCAAGACCTTGAATATTGGGCATTATTTTAGCAGAAGTGTGGATAAAGAAGGGAGAGAACCATGTTGGTTTGGGCTAAGATCTCCCATGTACAATGTGGGAAACACATTTAGGCCTGGTCCAGAAATATCAAGTCAGAGAGTATAGATGAAGTCTGGAGTGAAGAAGATGAGAGCAGAGAGGAACAGATTACAAGATGCTGTGTAGACTTGGTCTGGAGTCCAGATTTTATTGAATGAAATGAGAAGTCCTTGAGTGGGGCGGAGATTGAACAGAGAAGCGACAATGCTCTGTAAATGGTGCATGAGAGAGCTTACATTATTTTAAGTATTGCTGGTGTTCCTACTGCCACTATAACCATCTCGATAAAGAATTTCACTATTACTCCTCTTGAAGCCCCTGAAATTCTGATTTAAAATACATTGCAAAACACTCCATTTGGGCTGCAGAATGGCTTAAGTAGTAAGAATGCCTGCCTAGCAAGCGTGAGGCCTTAGTTCAAACCCCAGTACCACCATAAAACAAACAAACAAAAATACTCCATTCAGTGTTCACATTCTTATGAACATGACATAGTTGATTTAGAGCTATGTGTTTGGTGGCTTTGGTAATTAACCAAGGATCCGGCTGGTCTTAAAGCTATTCCTCCTTTATTTTAATAGAACTGAGTCATCACATCTTATCTGGAGCTAAGAAGGGCATGCCTCCCATCCATCCAAATGTGGAATCAAGGCTTTTAGATATAGGCTTAAAGGATAAGATCACTCATTTTATACCACTGAATATCACTATCTGGTCTGTCCATTTTGATTTTATAAGTAATAGTCATGAATCAGATTGTTTCTGTTTTTGAAACAAGGTCTTGATAAATAGCCCAGGATTCTTTTGCCTCTGAGGTGTGTGCTATCACACCTGACTATGAATCAGATTTTAGAAGGAAGGGGGAAAAAACTACCCCCACCACTATTTCCCCCTGCTACTATTTATTCAGATTTTACTGTGTGCAGATGTTGTACTAAATACTTTCAACATGTACTTTAATTCTTATACCACATTGTGAGGTAGCTATGGTTTGTACATTTCAGAGATGAGGAAAGGAGGCTTAGAAGTCAGTTAAGGCCTGAGAAAGTTAAAATTCAAACCCAAACTATCTTTAAAACCCATGTAATTAATTAACTACTGTGCTTTCTATAATTTCTCTGCACTACTAGTACTTAACACAGTATCTCTACATATTCAGCAATTGTATGAATTAAGTAACATTAACCCTGGAAGCAGGGGATTAGGACATAGAGCCAGCTATCTTTAAAGGTGGGAATTGGGGAGTTAAATGGTTACTATATTTTATACTTTCCATAATTAAGTATGTTAATAGTACCTGTATGTAACAGTCTTACTATGTGGAGGTTTTTTTGTTTGTTTGCACTTTTTGCATTTGACCACCAAGTTTGAGTCAGATCAAACACACATGTTAATGTAGAGACTTATGAACTCAGCTGTCTAGGAATGTGTTGTCATTAAGCAGTTTTTCATTATTGTCTCTAAACCCTTACACTCACATTCATATATGCACCAGGATGTTGTCTCAAGTATGGGCATTCTTGATGCCTTAAGTTTATGGCATATAGTGAATACACAGTATTTGAATGAATGAATGTGTCCTGATGACTGACTGATGGATCGTTTGCTACTTTTCAGTATTTGTCAGTACATGGTTAAGCAGCAGTGTGTTCCATAAGCCAAAAGCAGTCAGATTGCCAAAGATGGACAGTACTCAACATCCCAAACTTTAATCATGTGGATTTTTATTTTCCCAGTGGCTGTTCTGTATATTCTCCAGCACTGTTTTGGGATGGAACTTTCTGCTTTTAGGAATATTAATGGAACAGAGTGGTGATTTGAAATTTTTGTGATTTTTAAGACAGAAGTGACAATTTCTAGCATCATCTGGTCTCCCATCTGTTTTGGAGAAGAAAGTAGACTCCTAGCATAAAGAACTACAAATATAAAGCAAGCAGTAAAGAAAGAATCCATTAATAATGATTACCTCTACAGGTTATGCAGGTGATTTTCATTTTCTACCTTATGTAATCCTTTAATGTTTGAATTTTGCAAAATGAAAAATACAGCCATTTTTTTTTTTAAGCTAGAATTTGAACTCTCAGTGATGGACTAAGAGGCAGGAACAGATAGACTCTATTCTGACTTACCCCTCCCAAGGATATAGAAATCAGCAGAAAGAAGTGCTTATGTAATCACCAGCATGAAAAGCAGTTCTCTTTTTTTCAGTAATGATGGTGATGATTTCAGTGGTCAGTAAATGCCCCAATCATTGTGAAAACCAAATTTTCTAAAGCATTTCTCTCTTACTGCATTTATACTACTATCACAAGATACCCGAGATTGGTTAACAGAAAGAACAAAAGTTTGTCTCTGTTCTTGAGGCTGAACTCAAAATCAGGATGCTGGTATCTGGTTG